CTCCTGTGAACTCTGAACCCCATCTGGCACAAGGGACTCACCTGCACACTGTGCTAAGAGACTTGACCAAACTGACTTCCACCCCTATTAGGCTGTGTCCCTAAAGGTGACCCCAGCCCCGAGCTGCATCTTCACTCAAGAAACCACAATGCTGCAAGACCACAAAATGTGCATTGTCCCCACAACGTACACCTTGTTTACAACCCAGCTTGCAAAACCATTTTCAGTAATCCTCTACTTACCACCTTCTGGAATCTTCCATAACCACATAGCTCCAGTCCCTTTTTGTTCCTTATCTACTCTCACCTTTGTGTCAGCTGGAGTGGAGCTCGGTCTTTACTGGAGTCCCCTTCCCCTATTGCAGTCATCTGAATACAATTTGTCCACCCTCAGTAAGTGTCCAGGGCTGCTTTTTCTTTGCCACTGTGTCTTAGTCAGCTCGGACTATCATAACAAAATTCCATAGAACGGGGGCTTAGACAACAGATGTTTATTTCTCAGGGTTCTGAAGGCTGGGAGTCCAAGATCAAGGTGCTGGCAGATTCCGTGTCTGGTGAGGATTCTTCCTGGTTTGCCACCTTATCGCTTCACGCAGCAGAAAGAAAGAGCTCTGATGTCTTTCTTCAGAGAGGGGCCCTAATCCCATCACGGGGGCTCCAACCTCTTGACCTCATCTAAAACTAATACCTCCCAAGGATGTCACCTCTACATACCATTATAATGGAGACTAGGGCTTCGGCATACAAGTTTGGGGAGACACAAATGTTCAGCCTATAGAACAGTACGATGCCCTTACTGGCCGTCCACTATCCCTGGGTGGCTTCTGTCCTGGAGGAGCTGTTACCATGGCTTCCATCACAGGTGACGATGTGCCCTCCTGCTAGTGAGTGGACCCCCTGCTCCCCAGTTCTCTCTGTGCACCTGCCCACCAGTGTTGGCTGTCGTATGCCCTGGCAAATTGTTTCCTACTGTCCAGAGACTATGGCCCAGCTCAGGCCCAGGCCACCCCACACACTTTCCATCTTCCAGTGGCTGCAGCCAGAGCTTTGCCAATGGGTCCTGGACCCCAGCCTTGGGGAAGGGACCTCCGTCTAAGTTTGTCCTTTCCTGAACACTCTCCCTCAGCCCTAGGATATGTTTCAGAATTCTTTGTATATGTGTATAGTCTCTTATCATAATTGGATAATTCTTTATATGAAAGTTCCTCTGTTAACGTGACTCTATGGTTTGTCTCTGGCTTTCTTTGTGGGTGTTACCAATGGAGTCGGCATAGCACATGGGGATACAGAGGATGGGCAACAGGAAAATCAAACAATACATGTAGAACATGTGCCTGGTACATACCAGGTCCTTTTATTTTAGCTTTTATTTTTTTACATGAGTATTGATATATTTAAAATTTTTAAAAAATATTTACTTATTTATTTGGAGAAAGAGAGAGACAGGGCAAGCAGGGGAGGGGCAGAGAGAGAAAGGGAGACAGAATCCCAAGCAGGCTACACACTGTCAGCACAGAGCCTGATACAGGGCTTGAACTTACGAACAATGAGATCATGACCTGAGCCAAAATCAAGAGCCAGACACTTAACCAAATGAGCCACCTGAGCACGCAGGCACCAAGGTGTCCCTAGTTTTGATATTTTCGAAAAGCACATCTGTAGGACGCTGGGCCAGGGGAGAAGGCTTTCTGGAGGAAATAATATCTGAGCTGGTTTGAAGGCAGACGAATGAATGGGACGTATAGGCAGAAAGGAAGCCACCAGGACTAAGGCTGGATGCTCGCCCAGCCCCCTTGCTATAAGGACCCAAGTGAGATAAATGTACTTTGTAAACACACAGAGAGACGGTAAACAATAACAATCCAATTACCTTGACTTGCTGGAACTACAGTAAAATGTTGGCTTGCCAGCATAATTCGTTCCGGAAACGTGTTTGTAATCCAAAGCACTTGTGTATCAAAGTGAATTTCAAGAACCATTGGCTCAGTTGTGATCTTGAGACATTCGGCATCACATTCTACTCATATGACAAGATATCACTCATTTATCAAGTTAAAATTTATTAGAAATGTTTGCTCATCTTGCGGAACATTAGCAGAACAAGTTACTTGCAATCCAAGGTTTTACTGGTACTTCCTTCCTTGAGAACAATGAATCCCCTTGTTGAAGTCCCGTGCTCACTATATTTTGTCTGGAGACTGGACATTTCCACCAGAAGAAAGTGCCCAAATGAAAATTGTTAGGGCCCATTGTTCTCAGTGAAATAGCTCTCATTATAAGGAACTAAACTGACCCACTAGTATATGCATCCTTCATTCATTCAGCAAATATTTATTATGTGTTTTGCAAGGACCTGGTAATGTCACAATTATTCTTGTCTTCATTCTTAAGTTTGTATTGTCCTTTCCTTAAAATAATATTCTCCTGGGTCAGTGGAGCCCCAGTAATACTCTCCTAGTCCCACTCAAGGACTTGACTCCTCTCTCAAGGTTACAGGTAGACTCAAAACTCTTTGTATGAAGGTGGGGCATCTTCTGTGGAGGCCTATTTGCCTTGACCTTCAAGGGATCCCTTGGATTTCAGTTTGGCACCCACTGTTTTTAAATTTTGGTTCCAGGCTGGTCTGGTTGGACTGCAGGACGGCTCTGTTGCTAACGGTCATGGCAGAGCATTTGGCCACCTTTCTTTGGAGATTTTTCTTTTTGAGTTCGGAGGTCAAATTTGAGTAGTAAATATCTTCTAAGGATTTATCATTTTTTCTGAGGATGTTGCTGGCCAACCGGAAGAGAAAAATCACTCCGTAGATGCCAATGATGATGAGAATGTACCAGGCCGCGCTGGTCCCGTCTGGAAGTTTCAGGGCCTTGGTGGAATTGGTGCCATTCTTGCCTTCCATGTGATCCCTCAGCAGGTAGCCTAGGTCAGGGCTGGCCTGGGTCTGGTTGGGGGGTCCCTGAGAAGTCCACTTGATCACTGAGAAACAGAGAGATCCAAGTGAGACCCAGAATCCTGGGCTGAGGGCTGCCTGGCCAAGCCAATGACAGTGTGATCCTCACATCAGTGGGAAACATGGGGCTGCCTAACGGGGCTCTCCATGTTGAATGGGGAGGAGCCTAACTATGTATATATATATATATATATATATATATATATATATCAGTATCTTTTTAAAAATCAAAAGGATTCCAAAACACCAAGTTCATAAATGGGAGATGCAACATCACACAGACATCAAGTGTCCCTAAAGTAATCTATGCAACTAACATAATTGCAGTAAAAATATCCATAGAATTTCTTTGTGAAATAGACAAACTATGAATATCGAAAAATCAGCTCTCAAGACTAATTGGGAAACATCTGAAAACAGTGAGTGGTGAGTGGAAATTAGCCTAGCCAAAATTTAAAAGGAGCCAGCCAGAAAAATACTGACAGCTCAGAGCCGGCAGCCTGCTTCAGATTCTGTGTCTCCCTCTTTCTCTGTCCCTCCCCCTCTTGCACTTGCTTTCTCTCTGTCTCTCAAAAATAAATACTTTAAAAAATTTTTAAATACTTTTTTTTAGAGAGAGAGGGAGAGCGAGAGAGCAGGGGAGTGGCAGAGGGAGAGAAAGAGAGAGAATCTTAAGCAGGCTCCATGCTCAGCGCAGAGCCTGATGCAAGGCTCAATCCCACCACCCTGGGATTATGACCTAAACTGAAATCAAGGGTCAGATGCTCAACTGAGCCACCCAGGTTCCCCATCACTAAATTTCTTTTCTTTTCTTTTCTTTTTTTTTAATATTTTTATTTATTTCTAGGAGAGAGAGAGAGACAGCATGAGCAAGGGAGGGTCAGAGAGAGAGGGAGACACAGACTCTGAAATAGGTTCCAGGCTCTGAGCTGGCAGTCAGCACAGAGCCCGACGCGGGGCCTGAACCCACGAACCGCGAGATCATGACCTAAGCGAAAGTCGGACGCTTAACCGACTAAGCCACCCAGGCGCCCCCCCATCACTAAATTTCTTAATAGCTTTCAGTCCTCTTAGAAAAATCCGAAGCCTTAGTAGAAAAACATGCAAAGAGGTGTGGGCAATTAGGTCACGGAAGAACAGGAGTTCTGGAACATAAAAAAAGGCTTTTCAGTATTACTCATAATAGGGTTAGCGCAAATTAAAACTGCAACAAGGCAACCTTTTCTGATCTATAAAGTTTGAAAACTAATGTTTCAGAATACACTTTCAGGCATTTCCTTAATACTAGAAAGAGTGTAAATTCATACAACCAATACGGAAGGCCCAGTCAGGGTATCCATCGACATTACAAGTGCACTTACCTTTGACCAAGCAGCTCTCCCTGTAAGAATTTATCCTAAGATATGCTGGAAAACGTCCACCATAATGCATGTTTAAGCACTGCTTGTGATGACCAATGCTTAAGAACAATCTGAATAACGTCAATTGGGGGACAGTTTAACACTTTTTGGAAGGTCCATGATGTGGAATACTATGGAGCTATAAAAAGTAATAAAGATTGGGCATGGAAGAGGGCACTTGTGGGGATGAGCACGGGGTGTTATATGTAAACCAACTTGACAATAAACTATTAAAAAATTTTTTTAAAGTAATTAAGGTTTGGGGGGATACTAAATATTAATATATTAAAAAGTAAGCTAACCAGGTTATAGTATATAATCATATGCATAAGAGAGGAGGATATTTTATTTGCTTGAAGCTCACGTATGTATAAAATATCTCTGGGAGAATACACAAGCAATTGGTACCCATGGAGGCACTTGGGGAAAAGAATGGGGGATGAGATGTACTTTTCACAGGTGCCCTTTCGTACATTTTGTACCATGTGTATTTATCTTCAAAAAGAAGTTAATTTAAAAAGGAAAGAGTACAAGTGGGCACCTCTCTGGTTTCCGTGGTAAAGTGCCCCTGGGTAATGACACGGTGTGCCCTTCCAAGACCAGAAGATTAAAATCTTAATTGCTGTTTAATTCAAAACTGTTTTCTCTACTAGAAGAGCCAGTGCAAACAGAATGAAAGCCACAGAAGCAGTACATGAAATGGTGAGACATTTTCCAATTGAACTTCACCAGCTCAAATCCCCGTTTCTTCTCCTGTGTGAACACAGATGCATTCAGATGTGTCAGAGGATAAATCTCCCAGCCTACCAAGTAGACCAGAGCTGCTCCACAAATGCTTTCTATCTGATACTTGTTTGTCGCTAATTCATTTTGCTAGTTCAAGATTCAGGGAGGCTGGTATTGTTTTATTGTAGTTCATCGTCAGAACAAGTGAATAATCTTACTACTTTTTGATGAAGGGAGAAACTGTTCAAAAGAAACTCTACAAAGCACATGCAACAAAGCCCAAATGAATTATATAAAATCGGTTACTCACAGAAAACGATACAACAATCAGAAATTTTATGCCATGGTTGGTGGACGGGCTTAAGAACCTAAAGTTTGGAAGGAGGAACATTCCCATAATTATTTTTTTTAAATAAAAAACAAAACAGGTTTTGTTCCAACAGGAACATCATAAACCTCAATTAGAGCAAGAGAACTTATTGAAACTTTGAACACATGTATGAGCTCAGACCTTTCCTGTGATTTGTTCGAGAAGGATGTGATATATTCAAATATGTAGAAAGTATGACCAACCAAGAACTACAGAACGTTAAATTATTTTAAAACTAGTCCGATCCCACATGAAGGAAACTCACTACCTTATTTTTTTCAGTCCATTGTTCTTCACTTTTCTTAAAAAAAAAAAAAAAAGAATGAGCTGGTTGTATCTTAATGGATAAAAAATCCTGTAGAAAGATAAACCTCATCTGTGGCGTTTTGCACTTACAATTTCATGCTGTGAAATAGAGCAGTCATTCTAGAATAGCCCATCCGTGCATTGAAACAGAATACTCACATTCCATGAGGTGGTCTGTTCCTTGATTTGTGGGAAGGCGGGTTTAAGCAGTAGCCATGAAAAGAGAAGACAGAATGAGAACTCTTCCCTGTAAGATCCTACGGACGTCTGGCCCCCGGAGGTTCCTGAGCAGGGAGTAACATGATACCCGGAGAATTTTAGGGCAATACCAAATAGAAGCTTAGCAGAGAAGAACTGGACTCATTGTCTCTCCTTTAGTTAATCAAGAAATCAAAATCTATCTGTCTCCTGTTGGCTCAGAACACAAAGTACTTCCTGGCTTAAGCTTGTTGAGAAGGTCTAATGCAAAGGAATTTTTAAAAACATCCTGGTACCAAGGAGTCTCCGGCTCTTCCTGAGGCTGCCTCGCCAGCTCACAGCCTGGATGATTCCTGAATTCCCCTGTTCTGCACCTGTCACAGGTGTGGTCAGGTGTGGCAGAGGCCTATTGTCACAGGGTCAGGAAACTACATGGTCAAGAGTCACCGGCTTCCTCTTGGACTGTCTCTTGGATGAGGAAACACAGACAGGAAGGCACAGGCATGGGGAAGGTGCTGGGGGGCATAGCTGAGGGACCTGGGCTCCCCCTCAGGGATCAGTGGGCAGTGAGGTGATAGGTCAGGCGGTGAGGAGTGGTGCTTCCTTTTCCCACAGCCTTGAGTCACAGCCCACACCAGAATCGGAGTAAATTTGACCAGAAAGTGCTAGAATAGTAAGAGTCTGGGAGAAAAGAAAAGCAGGGAGCTTTGTCAGTAATAAGACCTGTACCTGCCAGACACGTAAGGGTTGTTGGCTTTTAAGATGTCATTTGGTCAAATTTCCATCAATAGGGGACTAGATAAGCAAAACATAAAATAGACCATAGGATCCAGCAATTCCACTCTTAGGTCTGTATCTAGGAGAGGTGGGAACATACACTAGACAGAAACTTGCATATGGATGTTCATAGCAGGATTACTCGTAGTAGCTGAAAAGTGGAAATGGTCCAAATGTCTATCCACTGATGACTGGGGAAACACAGTGTGGTCCATCCATACAATGGAATATTATTTGACAATAAAAAGGACTGAAGTACGGACCCACGTTGCAACATGGATGCCAAACATAATGAAAACATTATGCCAAGTGGAAGGCTCCAGTTACAAAGAACAAGACATTGGATGGTTCCATGTGTATGAAATGTCCAGAACAGACTGATCTATAAAGACAGAAAGTAGACTAGTGGTTGCCTAGGGCTTGTGTGGGGGTTGTGGGGTGATAACTATGGGGTGCAGGGTGTTTCTTAAGTATGAAAAAGGGTTCTAAACTGATGGGATATGAATTCTTTTTCAATAATATAACATAGGTATAATACAACAGAATACTCTGCGACTGTGACAAAGAAATGGGGGAGCTCTTTGTGTACTAATGTGTAAAGCTCCCCAACGTGTATTGTTGAATGAAAACAGCAAAGAAGAGAGTACGGCACCCTCTCTGTAACAAAGTAGAGGGGACATTATATAGATCTCGTTTGCTTGTATTGGCATTGAAAAGCTTTAAGGATGGCTGGAGACGTAAGAACAGGAGTTATCTGGAGAAGAAGAGAATTGGGTAGATGGAGGGCAGGAGTGGGGGTAAAATTTTCAGTGTATATTTTTTAATGGATATAAAGGAATTAACCATGTCTGCATGCACCCTGCTCAGTAACAAATACATCCATTACTTAAATGTAAATCTTCATTAAAGTTCTATTTGGGCTCCTATGGTCTCTCTGTAGGGGAATGGCTGGGTCGTGGTTCTTCTCGCTGTGCCACACAGACAGAGATTTCCCACACTGACCGGCTGAGGGAAGAAGGGGCGGAAAGGGGGTTCTGGATGACAAAGGGCAAAGGGCAGAGCAGGGTCAGAAGTGAGGGCCCTGGTCCCAGCTGTGTGCTCACCCTGTGCTCCTGAGCAAGTGCCTTCCCACCGTGAGCAACAGTTGCCTCACCTGTTAGTGGAGAACAGTGGGACCTGATAGCATCTGGTCCCCAACATGGCAGGAAGGAAGCTAGGGAGGCCAGAGTGGGGAGGCGTGGGGAGGAGCCGCTTCTGTGGAGGTGTCTGAATGGGAGGGCTGTCAAGGCTGGTGCCTCAGGGCAGGGAGGGCAGGCCTGGGCAGCTGGCACCGGGAAGGTGGAGGTGGAGGCTTCGTGGAGTATGTCATCTGCGAGGTCAGAAGGTTTCCGCATTCGGCTCAGCAGGATGACGGCCTGGGATGTAGGGAGTGAGGAGCTCCAGAAAAATGGGGGAGGCAAAGAAAGGGGGCCTTTGGGGCCACCTGAGTGGCTCAGTTGGCTAAGCATCTGACTTTGGTTCAGGTCATGATCTCACAATTTGTGAGTCTGAGCCCCGCGTTGGGCTCTGTGCAGCAACTCAGGGCCGGGAACCTGCTTTTGATTCTCTGTCTCCTCTCTCTGCCCCTCTCCCGCTTGCACTCTCTATCTCTCAAAAATAAATAAATACTAAAAAAAGTTTAGAAAAGGGGGGAAGGCCTTTGGCCTCATCCACACTATACAAGGGGCAGTAAGTAAGATTAGGGCATAGCTCTGTACTGGGTGCTCTTGACCTGGTTTCTGCCTCTGTAATCCTGTGATACAGAAGCATTATTCCCCCTTAAGGAGGGGTAACACTCTTTGTGGCTCAGAGAAGTGACTTGCCCAGTGCCACACAGCTCACAGGTGCCAGAAGTGGGATGTCTGAAACCAAAGGCGTTCTCCTTCCACACCCTGAATGTCATCTTCAAGCTGGACCCAGAGCCCCATGAATTCTCCCAATCACTTGCTCTACAGGGTGAATTGCAGATTGTCGTTGCTGAGGCATGTCCATGACCTTGAAACCCTTCCTGTTGGCCAAAGTGGAGCCATGATGTTAAAAGTCAGGACAATGGATCTCCTCCAGCTGAAGGTAAGTAACTAAAGGTGGAGGGAGGAGGACTCTAGGGTGCTGTTCATACTCTGTTCCATGGCTTTGTCAGGTTGGGGATCTTCATAGAATCATATACTTATACCATGTTCATTTTTCCGCAGGCATGTTGCACTTCAATGTAAATCTTACCCTGTTTCTTTAACACAGAAATCCTTGACAGACAATGGGAAAATAAAGTTGAAGGTGTATATAGAAAATTCAAGTGCTATTTTAAAAACCTTTTTTCAGCGTTTTTGAGATACAGAGAGAAACACAGCGCAAGTGGGAGAGGGCGAGAGAGAGGGCGACACAAAATCGGAAGCAGGCTCCAGGCTCTGAGCTGGCAACACAGAGCTCGACATGGGGTTCAAACTCACAAACCACGAGATCAAGACCTGAGCCGAAGTAAGACGTTTAACCAACTGAGCCACCCAGGCGTCCCTACAGATATTTTAAAGAAAGAAGTCTATATTCTGTCATGGCCATGGCCACATGGCATCATCTAATAAAAGTACTCTGACTGGGGTTGAAGAGGTGGTCAAGATCATGGTCACGGGGGCTGCAGCCGCCTGCCTCATTATGCAGTGTGGATGACGCGAACTCTTTGTCATTCCTGAATGCTTACATAACAGTGAAATGGAACAAGTTGTACCACCTTGAGGGCCAAGAATTTTCTTCCTATTTGCGTATGTCCCTTTAGACCTTCTGGTTCAGTCTAGACAAAATGCAATCAAGCAAAGCCATTCACCTGGTAAATATTTGTCTGAGCTACCCCCACACCTTCCGGGCCCTTTGACGTTAGAGACCAAACTCTCCCAGATAGTCATAGCTTCCTTCCTCCCTCCTCCCTCCCTTCCTCCCTTCCTCCCTTCTCCCTCCTCCCTCCCTTCCTCCTTCCTTCCCTCCTGCCTCCCTCCCTTCCTCCCTTCCTCCCCTCCCTCTTTCTCTCCCTCTTTCCTTTTCTCCCTTTCTTTTTCTCTTTCTTTCTTTTTCTCTTTCTTTCTTTCCTTCCTTCTTTCCTTCCTTCCTTCCTTCCTTCCTTCCTTCCTTCCTTCCTTCCTTCCTTCCTTCCTTCCTTCCTTCTTTCCCTCTTTCCCTCCTTCCCTCTTTCCTTTCCTTCCTCTCTCTTCCTCTCTTTTTCTCTCCTTCTCTCTTTCTCTTTCTTTCTCTCTCTCTTTCTTTCTCTTTCTTTCCATCAGTCATGTCTTTCTTTTTTTCTCTCCCTCCCTCCCTCTTCTTTTCTTTTCTCTACTGAAGAACCAGCCGGCTTAGAAGATGTCTAAGTTGGAAGCAAAGGTAGCAATGATGTGGATTTGATTAGCCAGAAAAAAGAAAAGAATGGATAAGAAACAAGTGCCTTTACATTTCAGGATGTCAGAACTGGCATTTTAAAAGCTGTCAATAAACACATGCTCATAACCACATTTGGCATTCTTTCTAAGGAATATTTTCTAGGGGAGGGAGACTTCACCAACCAATTCTGACTCTTTGCAGTGCAAAAGGACACTAAAAAATGACAAGTCAGGAGTCCCATGGAGAACAACTGACCTTCTTCCCTGCCCTGCTCCAGGCAAAGGACACTTGCAAGCTCTTCTGGCCAGGAGCACACATTCCAGATGTTTCCTGCTTTGCAGGGGGTACAAACTTCCAGAGGACATTTAAAAGATGTTTTGCATATTTTAAAAATCTTTAACTTATATGTCATTCTTGCCTTTCCTTTTTTTTTTCTTAAAGCTTTTTATTTTTATTTTTGAGAGAGAGACAGAAAGAGAGAAGGAGCAAAGAAAGGGAGGGAGAGAATGCCACGTTGGATCTACGCTGTCAGTGCAGAGCCTAACAGCAGGCTCGATCTGATGAACCAGCTGTGAGATCATGATCTAAGTGGAAACCAAGAGTCAGAGGCTGGTAACCAACTGAGCCACCCAAGCACCCTGCCTTTCCTTTTTAATGTCATTCATTGTCTTATCCACTTTTTAGGGACATTTAATGCCACCTCCTGTCCCCAGGGAGGTGCAGAGGAAGGCTCCCAGGCCTTGCAATTGGGGGTTCCAGGTTCCTGCTGGGACTTTCTCATGTACTAACTGTGGGACTGTGGTCAAGTCGCTTCACCACCCCAAACCTCAACTTTAAAACAAAGGGGTAATGAATTGTGATGACGTGAACTTTTTCATAAATCCAAGGGGCAAATACAGTCACACCTCATGTCTTCTTCCAATGAACTACCTGAGCCCTCGGTGCCTGGTTACCCGGAAATCCTACCTGTATCAGCCTCTTAAGGCCTCCGGGTTGACCAGGACTCACTAGGATTTCCCCCGGAGGGTAGGGAGGGCAGCCGGGCGCAGAGGACTAGCGTGATTCTCCGCTGCTGTTGCCTGCAGGTGCCACACGGGGCCGCTGTTGAACACTGGCTTGGCGCGCAGTCTTCAAAGGCGACAAAGGTGTGCCCAGGAGACAGAGCAGTAGCTCCACACACTTGCTTGTTGCTCACAAATACGGCTTGTCTGCTCCCTTAGCTCTCTTGTTCCCTCCCCTAGGGAGGTCAGCAGCACAGTTAACAAGTCTCAGGAGTGGAAGCAGACGAGCAGTGCAGAAACCAGGCCAGCTGCCATTTCCCGCTGCAGTTCTGCCCCCTGCAGGCCTGAGCTGGAAGAGCGGGGGAGGCCCACACTTAAAGACTGAGTTCAGAAGTTTGATCTTGGCCTGAGGCTGCAAGACTTAATTATTGAATTAAGAGCATTTTCCCCAGCCTAACGGGCTGATGCGGGCAGGGGAAGATCGAACCTCACATTATGTAGAGCCCACAGAGCAAAACTAAAGAAATGGTGGGAACACAAATAAAGTGTTATTATTACATCAAATGAGTCATCTCTGTCACGTTGATGCTACTACCGCCAGGAGGCTCTGGGGTGCAGAGCCAACGCTAGATAAGAGTGAAAAGGGAGACTTTACAGGCTCAAGTAGGCAAGGCGGAGGCAGGGTAGAGCTGGTCCAAGGGGCTGGATCCAAGGCGGGGTCCATTTCTGTCTTCCACTTCTGCCTCTCTTTAGACCTTGACTCATTTCCTCCAGCAGCAGAGGGCTTTTCTCCATGTCCTGTAAACACAGACTACAACTTTTTTCAAGGTCCATGGAATTTTCACATGCATAAAATACCTGCCTCGTAGTGTACCCGTAAAGGACAACTTAAAACATTCTGAAAGATGAGTACTGGGTGTTATATGTAAAACAACATGATAAAAAACTATTAAAGAAAAAAAGAAAAGAACATTCTGAAAGGAAAAATATTCTCTACTCCCAATTACCAAAATAGAGATCAATTTTTAAAATTAAAAAAACTGAAAAAAACATAAGGCTTGTTATGTGGAAATCAAAGCCTTGGGTCCAAAAGAAACTCAAAATGGAAAGTAAAATATTATTTAGAAGATGAATTCAAAACCATACGTATGGAAAACTAAGTGCTAAAGCTAATTTAATTAATAAGAAAAAAGATAATAAAAATATATTTCCTGAGAAATGAGGAAGGGGCCATCTTCTAGACAAAGGGCACTGGAACAACCAGATGTTCATCTGCAAAACTAAACACACACACACACACACACACACACAAACTGAGACCCTTACCTCACACCGTGTAAAACATTTACTCAAGATGGGTCATTTGGTTCTACCTCAGTGTAAAAGCTAAAACTATAAAATGTAACAGACAAACACATAAAAGAAAATTATGACACGGGATTAAGAAAAGATTTCTTAGATGTCACATCAACAGCACAATGCATAAAAGAAAAAAAAAACCCTGATAAACTGGTCTTCAGAAAAATGGGAAACTTGATCTTCAAAAGCCACTATGAACAAAATGAAAAGAAAAGCCACACAGACTGGGAGCTAATATCTGCAAATCAGATATCTGATAAAGGACCTGCATCAAGAATAGATGAAAATGTCTTACAATTTAACAAGAAGAGCACAAACAACTCAATTAGAAGCAGAAAAAGGAGTTGAACAGACATTTCACCAAAGAAAATACACAAATGGCTAAGAAGCACATGAAAAGATCCTCAGCATCATAAATTGTTAAGGGAATACAAATCAAAACTACAATGATCTATCACTACACACCCACTAAAATGGCTATTATTTATTTATTTATTTATTAAAATGTCTATTTATTATTGAGACAGAGAGAAATAGAGCATGAGGGAGGGAGGGGCAGAGAGAGGGAGACACAGAATCTGAAGCAGGCTCCAGGCTCTGAGCTGTCAACAGAGCCTGATGCAGGGCTCAAGCCCATGAAGTGTGAGATCATGTCCTGAGCCAAAGTCAGTCGCTTAACCGACTGAGCTACCAAGGCGCCCCTAAAATGGCTATAATTTAAAAAGGGGCCAGGATGTTAGATGTTGGCAAGGCTGTGGAGAAACAAGAACTACATTGCTGATTGGAATGTTGACAGATACAGCAACCTGGAAACAGTTGAGTAATTTTTTTCAAAGTTAAATTTATACATATTATATAACCTAACAGTTTCACTCATGGGTATCTACTGAAAAAAATATATATCCATACAAAAGATTGTACGTAAATATTGATATCAACACCATTCATAATAACCCCAAATTGGAATTGGCCCAAGTGTTCATCAACTGGTCAGTGGAAACAAAAGGTCCCGTGTCCTTACAGAGGAATATTATACAGCAGGAAACACGGGTGAACTTCAGAAGTGTTATGCAGAGTGAAAGAAGCCAGATACAAATGGCACCATATTGTATGACTCTATTTATGTGAAATTTCTGGGAAAGGCAAAAAGAAGAAGACAAGAAGCAAATCGGTGGTTGCACGGGGCCAGAGGAGAGAGCAGGAGCTGATACAAACAGGAGGGGGAAATTTGGGGGTTGATGGAAATGCTCTAAAACTTCAATGTAGTAATAGTTCTCCATTGTATAAATCTACAAAAATCATTGAGCAATGGCCTTTCAATGGGTAGATTTTCCGATACGTAAATTATACCTCAATAGAGCTGCTTGAAATGTTAAATTCAGTACCTAATTTCAGATATTTCAATGAGAATAACAAAATAAGCCGTGCCTGGGTGGCTCAGTCAGTTGAGTGTCTGACTTTGGCTCTGGTCATTATCTCATAGTTCGTGGGTTCAAGCCCTGCGTCGGGCTCTGTGCTGATCGCTAGCTTAGAGCCTGGAGCTTATTTCAGATTCTGTGCCTCTTTCTGT